TGCTATTTCATATTCATATTCATATTTATATGTGTTTATATTACTTTAACGAAAAACGTCTTTACCATACAATTTTTTTTTATCTTTTTGAATAAAGTTGTATAACATGTAAATGTAAGTCAGTCCTTTTTTTTAATTGTCCAATGCTGCATTACACTGATGACCCCGTGTATCATCCTTGTTTAATATTAGGTGAAAAACAAGGGTAAAACGATACAAGAAGGCAGTTGGATAACGTTTCTAATACAGCCCTAATGGTATCGATACTATTAGTAAAAATTCCGATGAAAAAGGTAACTTAAAAGTAACTTAAAGTTACTTTTTCAGTAACTGTAACTGTAACGAATTACTTTTCAGAGTCAATAACTTGTAACGGTAATTAATTACTTTTTGAAAGAGAAAAACTGTAACTGTAATTAATTACTTTTACAAAGTAACTTTCCCACACACACATCCCTGGTAATTAATAAAAACACCCGTTTAGTATAACTTGCGTATATATAACGTTTTAGGATGTAATCTTATATTTATTGTAACAACATTGATAATGACCGAATGTTCTGGTCGAAACGTATGTTTTATTTTATTTTATGCTATTTGAAATATTATGTTTTAGCAACCTCTAGCTATTGCTCATATACCCTTGTGTCACATTTATATTGTTAAGAAAGATAAATATAATATAAACATATTTTAAAGGTTACTGTTTATTGTTTTAAACGAAAATTAATAACTTTAAAGTACAATTAAAGAATGTAATCCTGTCATAATTTTGTACATGCTTGTGAAAACTTAAATGTTTCTATAACGCAATTATTTTGTAGAGAGAAAGGGAGACTATGCCGCCGGAATTGATCAAATGTACAGTATGTGCAGCATTGTTCTACAACAAGAGAGCCTACAACGTGCACAACACTTATCATCACCCGGATGATTTATATGTGACTTCCGAAGAGCAAAGAACGCAGATGGTGACCAGGATTGATCAAGACTTCGACGTTAGGAGAGTACAGTCTATGGCCGATAGATATGTATCACGATCTAATGTAATTAAGAGGAAGAATAGGAAGAAGGTAACACATATTTTACGCCCTTATGGTGACTTTGACCAAACTCTGATTAACTTAATCAGCAATATTTTATTAAGTAATATGAATAAAACTATTAAATTAATTAACAAAATTATATTTAAGGTAAAAAAGATTAAGAAAAAAGAATAACGAATTGTATATTAGATTTTGTCTTAAGCGATTCTACCGGTCGAATTAACAGCTGATTAAGTTAATCGCAATCTAGTCGAAGTCACCTTTAGCTCTATTGTTTATGATCTCAATATAATTTGACATAATATAAATTTTATATGATACAAATATGATCATGCAATAGTATTGTATAAATATTGTAATAAATATTTCTATATATAACAACATAGCGATATAACTAAATTTATATTTATTAATATGTGAATTTAGAATGAAGCGGAGAATACAATTATTAAGACAGAGATAAAGAGAGAGAGATCTATATCATTAGACGACCCTGCATGTATCAACGAGTCCAACGAGTCCAGCGATTCCGAGAGCGATATCCCATTGAAGCAAAGGATCACCAGCTAACGGAGGTTATTTTTATCATAAAATATTTCTATTTCTGATCCAAGGAAATCTTATTGTAAGAGAGATTTATGAACTGCTGCTATACACAATCGTGATAGTCATCTGCTTTTTTGCAGTTGTTATTATATGTATATGTATAATTTGTATATTATATAAGTTAGGCCCGGTTGTCCCACCTTTTGGTAAATTTTACCTGTTGGGTAAGTAGCAAGATTATCCAATCACATACGCGGATTACCAGATTTACCTCACAGGTAAAATTTACCAAAAGGTGGAACAACCGGCCCTTAAAGAAATTATAAGAGAGGGCAATTATATATTCTTTTTTTGTTTCTACATGGATTGTGTTTAAGAAGTACAATTGTAATAACTGAATGTGTGAGTAACGATGAATGTTGAAGTACAGGAAGTCATATAATAATAATAAGAAGAAGAAGAAAAGAGTAATTACTGTAATTTGCAAATTAATTCTTGAATAATTTTTTATATGTACATTAATTAAATATCATGTTTAAAAGATATACATATATATATATGAATAATATACATATTACATAATGTATATTATGTATATTTATGTATATATACAGGGTGAATCAGAAGAGACTAGTTTTTTACCCTAGGAGAAAAATTATCTCTAATTATCACCACATCAAAATTATATATCTCTAATTATATAGGGTAAATATTAATACATGTCTGTACCTTTTACTATGGAAAGTGAGTTTCTGACTGCATCTGTGATCATCTTTCGTAAATTCAAAGAAAGAATTTTAAAAAGTGAATTCTTTTTGAGTTATAATGACTATCTGTGCTATTTCAGCACGTATGTGCTAATCTAATTGCGACACCATTATGTGAATTTTTGTAAATGAGTTCAAAAATTGATTGGTTGACAGATCTCCCTATTACTTTCAATCCACTGCGCATCCGTGAGAATGGTTCACCTTACTTCTTACATTATTTATTTTTATATTATAATTATTTTATAATTAGTCGACAATTTGTCTCGTGGAGTAAAAAACTAGTTCATGATTTACTCTATATATATTATATATAACATTACATATAGAGTATATGTAAAATACACACTATAATATATATACATGTATCTTCTAAACATGATTAAATACATATTTTTATTTTTTTATTATAGTATGCATGCGACACAGAATGTTTTTATTTTATCTGCTGTTTTTTTTGCCCTCTTGATATCTTGCAAATTTTATATACAAAAAATATATACAATTATATATAAAATTTTATACACGAAAAAAAAATATATATATACACGTCGTGTACATCCATAATTGAGAATAGCATAATCACTTTTAATTTTCCTGTGATCCATTTCATCCAATTGTAATTTGTAAATGTGCGCCATCCCTAGGAAATCTTACCGTCGAATAGTTCCCTAGTCCTTAGAATCTTGAGGCGCGCCACGTTGGCCACTTCCGGCGTCGTGTCGGTCGGGTCGGTCCGCGGAAAAGGTACGACGGCCATTTTGTATTATCGGTTTTCGCGTGTGTGCGTGTGTGGTGTTACGATCGCCGAGGATTCCTGTACTTCTTGAGCCGCGTATTCTTGTAAATTGTACGTCGAATTAAGGATCGTTTTACAAAAGAGAGTCACCGTTAATAGCGACAAGTTTCCGATAATCCGGCGGGAAAATGGGCCGCAAGAAGAAGAAGCAGTCAAGACCTTGGTGCTGGTATCCTTTTTCTTTCCTCGAAGATTGCGACGGCAACGACGACGACGACGACCTGCAACAGTCGCTTTTACGTAACCGTAATTTTTGGAGCACGTTAGTTGTGCGATCGCATAGCGAGGAACTATTGCTATTAGCCGGTGATTTATACAGCGGGTGTCGATCTTCCTCTCCATTGCAGAAAGAGGCTCGAGGAATCGACACGGCGTTTGGGTTCCGCGGAAGGCGGAGAAATCGATACGCGATTTCCTCGCGTCACCGCGACATGCGACATCTCTTGTGTATACTTATACATGAGAGAGCGCAGCTGTTTCCACTGTCCTCGCGTTTACGCGACGCGTTGCATGATGATGTAATGCAACTGAGAAGCCTTTCACGCAGAAAAACGACTGAATTGGGTCGATGTTTCTTATCCCACAAAATTAGGAGTAGTCTTTGTATATCTTGCGTTTCAAGATTCTTCTGCTTAAGTTTCCTCTAAGATTTTTTTCTTTTCACTTGGCTGGATGTTTTTATGTGGAGTGCAATTGAAAATATGCATGCTCTCCTGATCTTTTCAGTGACTTGTAAAAATGTTTGAATGCTGTAAGACTTCTGAATTAAATGTAGACCTTTAAAGAATGAATTGAAGAAAATCTAAATTTAACTTTGTTGAATCATGAGTAATTTAATTGCTTTCTGATAAGTAGAAGTTGAAAGATGCTTTGTAAATATTTGTTTGAATGGTGTTAAATTTATGAATTGAATGATAAGTTTTCATGTAGATAAACTAAGAAATATTTAGAATTTGTTTTGTGATGTTATAAAAATTAACAAAGATTGAATTTTAAAAGTTTATTTACTTGCATAAATTATGGAACATGAAAACTTAAAGGAAAGATTTTACTTGTAATAATTTCCAATCAGATTGGATTAAGTAATAATACATTTTTTTGAGTCGCTGAAAAATTTTCAAGCAAAATTTTGATTTTGAAAATGAAATATAATTTTGAAAATGTCTAATTTTAAAGGATAAACTTTTTCTAATTTCTTTACGTTTTATTTTTTTTGCAAATTATATGAGTTTTAGATTTGTTATTTATAATATATTACTTATCTCTCTCTCTCTCTTCTAACAGGCTTGACTGAATATATAGGTACTCTAAATTCTTTGAATTGGAATCTCACTCTAAAGAGTGAAAATTGAGTCTTACAAAACAGCAACTCAATTTTTAATTTTTAAAAACAAGTGTTATTCTAAAAGTTTTAAAGAGTTATAAAACTAACTATTATTTAAATCTTATTCTATAAATTTCCTTAACACTGTACTTCGAAAGGTATTGCAATCGTGAATTCGAAGATGAGAAAATTCTCATTCAACATCAGAAAGCAAAGCACTTCAAATGTCATATCTGTCACAAGAAACTGTATACTGGACCAGGACTTAGCATACACTGTATGCAGGTAAATAAGATTACATCCTTATTATGTTTTATCTGCTTGATATTATTTTAAGATTAAAATGACACTCGTTTTCACAGGTTCACAAAGAAGCAATAGATAAGGTACCCAATTCATTGCCAAATCGTAGCAATATTGAGATAGAGATTTATGGAATGGAGGGTATTCCACCGAATGATGCAAAAGAACACGAGAGACAGCGAAACGGTGGTAGACCTGGCTCGCCATCATCCGGCGAGGATGAGCCAGTACAGAAAAAACCGAAACCTGAGGGTCTGTTAGGTTCTGCGCCGGGTGCAATGCCTGGCATGGCGACTGGTCTACCTGGAATGCCACCGCAACCAGGTATGCCGCCATTACCTGGTATGGCACCGCACCCAGGTATGGCACCTCATCCTGGTATGCCGCCACATCCTGGTATGCCTCCTATGCATCCCATGATGCCAATGGGCCATGTAGGACCTCCATTTATGGGTCCAGGGTATGTATTCCTCAGTTAACTGTAGTATTATATTAAATCTTCATATCAATTTTATTTTTTAATTTTCAATTTATTTATTTTTAATGGTGGATTTCCGATTATTCATAGTCTCAATACAGTTTATCTAAAATCTGATAAAATCCAGTACAAATTTTATGTTTTATAAAAATCCCGCACTAATTAAATGAAAAATTAGGTGAAATGGATTAATTTTCATATATAATGTAGCTTATAATGTGGTGATGAACTAAAGATGTCATGGGCTCATTAATAGATAGTATTTTATTTGTGATGTATTAAAGATGTAAAACTTGTGCTCACACAATATCTTTGATAGCTCACAAACTATCCCTTCACTAAACCTTGTGTTTATGAGTTTGTTTAGTACATAATGAGCTACATCATACACGAAAACTAATTTATTTTACGAAAATCTAATTTTTCATGTAATTAGTGCAGGGTTTTCAAATGTCTTCGTATTCAAACAATAATAAATATCAATAATCTTTTATCTTTCTTTATAAAGGGCTGATTAAGTTCTTGTAAGCATTCTTCATATCAGATAGCTTTGTCTTTTTTTGTATATAATCAATTAATAATTCTTAGTACAAACGTTCGTTCCTAAAAAAACAATTAACAAATTACATATAATAAAACTTTTCACATAACTTAATGTTTTTTTTTTTTTGTGAAAAATATAAAGAAAACCTATCAGAACCAACATCAGCTGTTCAGATGCACAGAAATCTCTTTATTCTTGTGTAAATGTATCAAAGACGAAATAAATAAACGTTTCAACCTTTCAATTTGGGTTCTTATCAATATACAATATAAATCTTAATTACATGAGTAACCTCTTATCTAAAAATATAACTACAATTAATACCATGCAAATTTCAAGGTGGTGAATCCCGACAATTTAGCTCATTCTTTTATCCAAATGCCAATTTGCTATGTAATGAATAGCCAAGTGATTATCATAAATATTGAAATTATACAATAATATTATAAAAACTTAAAATAAAAACGGTGTTGTATACATTGTGTCAATAGATAAAGTCACATCGCTCATCAAATTGTCAGATTTACTATGTAGTCATTCAAAAGAAAAACGAAAAATGAAAAAGAGAATTATTTAAATCATTTATCTGAATTTTAATTGTATTAATTTTATTTATATGTAAGCGTTTCTCACAACTCGACGCAAATATCTTATGGTGTCTGGCACCGTATGAATGCTGCACAAAAAAAAGGTCTTTTGGTGTGAACAGTGAGAATTAAAATAAGAGTCAAAATAATAAAGTCATGTAGTTATTGAAGTAAAAATAAAAATAAGAACAAAGGGGGAAAAAGCAATGTCACGGTTCCACAAACAAGTTTATACATAGTGGTTCTGAAGAATAAGTATTAGTCTGTAAATTCAAACTCTGTTTCTGTTGCTTTATATGGATCATTTCCGAAATCAATCTTTTATTAAGACTCCTGAGTAGTCAACATGTGATTTAAAATCAATCGGCGGCCTGGCGAAATGTGGCGAAT